GCTAATGAAACATCAATCACAAATGGTCTTGGACCGAAAAAACAATTATCTATCAAATGCTCCCCAAACACAAAGAGAAACATCATGGTACACATCCTTTGCTGATAAAGCCAGGACAGTCTCATTGCTGTTCACCCTCCTGACGGGCAAGTCACAGGACTGAGGATCTATGTCTGGGACAACCCATGATGGAGCTGCCATCCCAGCCCCGAGGGATGGCTTTCTCCACACAGCTTTAATAGGCTGAGGCATTTCAGCATCATTTTCAGACGCATCTTTTAAGATGGATATTTTCAGCATGTTTTACAAGACACTAGAGAGAAGTTACCAGCACAAATACTAATTAAGACTATTTCTTCTCAGCATCTTCCTTGAGTACTGACCAGCCCATTGGTACCGCAGCCTAGTTCCAACTAAAAACTAAAAAGCTGGCCACTGCTGAAATATTGCCTAGAAAGCACTTACCTCAGCACTCTTCCTGCTGCTGTTTTATTTCTTCTTCATTATTAACTCAGTGAATAAAAGTCGTGGTGCTAACAATGTTTTACTGCTCTGTGAACAACTACGTAAAAGTGCAAAAATAGGTAAATCTTTCTAGAGTAAGGTATGAGTTTAGTACCTGGCATGGGGTTGTTTGCAGAAAATAAACCTGTGCAATATCTGAGGTACTTATAGCTTAATGCTGGCTGGCTCTGCCATTCCCAGGCACCATGGTCCCTCAGATATTGGGCTGTGTCAGGCATCTCATGCTCATGAGAAAGAGCAAATGGCAGCATCACTCAGCAACTGGACACAAGCAACAGATCCTTCGCAGCTACCCCATGCTTGGGAGCACTGGAAGCAGCAGGCAGGAGGCCTGAAGGCCCCACTGTTGGCTGCATCACGTTGGATGCAGGAGAATTCTCTCTTCTGCAGACAAGCTCAGTCACAGCACTAACAGGCTGGTGGTTCTTTGCAGAAAAAAACTGAGAAGACAAATCAACTTCATACCTTTGAGTGAAACATGTGGGAAGATCATACTTTACACTTCAGAGCCTTCATATTTAGTGAAAACAAGAAATGAAATGAGTTCACGAAAGACTAATTGCCCAGTTTGTTTTATGCATGAGCCCCAGCATTCCTAACACATGCAGTTACAGCTTGTTTTCAAAGAGACCAATTACTTCATTAAAACATCAACTTCACACTTGCAGATTTGCTATAACACGTCTTCTCCTCGTCATCGTTTTGGCCTAATGTTTTGCCATTTTTTGGTTTAAGAGCAAAGAAAAGAGCCAAATGAACAAATCAGATTTTGCAGTATCTCTAAGTTACTAACAGCTATTAAACTGCAGGATTTAGGATCCATTCTTTCTCCTCCATGAAGTAAAAGAGTACTGCAGGACTTCAAACCCCCTGGTGCAAGACCCATGGCAGCTCAGGCAGCCAAGAAGCACCTTTGTAGCAGGATGCTCTTGCAGGTACAAGGACACCAAATGACGGTTTGAAAGGAGCCTGTGCCTGGGAACTTGAAGGGTGAGATCAGAAAGCAATAGGGATGAAAGTTCCTTCAGTTGGCTAATATTCCACTATCTGTAAGATACCCAAAGAGGCTACATAAGACATCTAGTTTACGCACAGCAGAAACTGAAAGCTGGGTGATGGGGTAGGGTAAAAGGTGAAAGAGAAGGGAAAACAGCTGAAGAACCCTCAAAAGGAAGCCCACAGAGATTTCTTCCAGACAAGCAATGTAATTAAAATGTAATTCAGTAAAATTTTATCATCAGAAAACAGAGTTCACAGTAATCACCTGACTCTGCAGCATAAATCTTCGTGGCAAATAAAGATGTTTGAGCGATCACAATCCTTCTGATGAAACAGAAAGCAGAGCCCTGCATCCCTGCTTGTGCAGGGCTGGACTGCTGCAGTCTTGGCACTGCTGGAGTGATGCTATCAAGGGTTGCCACAGAAACTTGAGGATGCAGCCCCAGCAGCTCTGACGTTGCATGAAAAACAGGAGTTCAGCTGGAGACTGGTGGTTTCCCCTAGTGCCCAGAAGGATTGAGATGGGGCTGTATCTGAAGCTTTCCTACAGTCAGGTCTCCCACTTCCACAGGTCAACCTTTCATATCCCCCACTGCACAGGCACAACCACACACAAAACCCCATTTTCCTCCTTCCTCCCAGGTTAGGCAACACAATGGTCATTTTCCTCACCCATTGCTTCCTTCCAGGTTCCTACTGACAGAGCTGCTATGAGTTTTCTGCACAGTGGTATAGTCTGGAAGCAGAGGGGATGCTTTAATTGGAGTTCCTTTTATTGCAGAGGGAGCTCATATATCCCACTTGCCTTTACAAACCTGGAGAGAGCAGGAAATTCTGTGTGACTTGTACAGATCTAGAAAGGATCACTTCAAAGTTACTGTGATTTTGTTTCTTCCTGAACACAGCCTTGATTCAGAGGGGTCACACAGGAGAGTCCAACATCAGGTGAATTACTGCCACCTTTGGCAATGTTGATCTTACCTTATTATCCATATTGCTCCTGTTGTCATATCCCCAACAGGACAACTACTGTGGAAGACCCTAGTGTAGTTTGGAGAAAAGAAACACCCTCCTTCCCCAACTCTGAAGTGATACAAATTTCATTTAAAAAGTCCCTCTGGGATGAATTTCTATTGTTCATTTATTTATACACACCTTAAGGCAGCAGTATTTGCCCAGAAATAGAAAGTATGTTAATTCAAATGCAATCTTAAACTTGCATTCAGATTTCCCATAGTATTTTCCTGTTGCTGCACCACTGAAGCTGAGAGTCTAACCTCACAGAGCTGTAAACATGGTTTTTCTTCAGTGAAATGGCATCCCAAAGCCATGCATTAAGTCCTCTGGAAAATAAAATCAATTATAAAACCTGCAACAGTTGTATCTCACACAAGGAGCAGAACAAACCAGCAATGGGCATTTATGCTTCATAAGAATAACCATGCAGCTACTTTCACTGCAGATTTATATTCCCCACGGAAAAGATTATGCAGATGCGATGCAGGCAGATCAAATATGCCTCACGTGTGAAGTGGCCACTGATACAAGATAGTTTGGGAAGGGAGATTTTCAGCCAGTGGCAAGAGAGAGCACGAGGCAATGTTAAGCTCCAGCTCTGATTTACCATCCCTTCTGCGTACGGGTGACTTCCTTTTCAAATTTAAACTCATTTCTTTCATGTTACTTTGCAAAGTGAGAAGGACTTAAGGCCAGTTTGTATGACAGGATGGCAGCTGTCACTCCATGCAAACAGACCCCGAAATGAAAGAGCAATCCAGCACGTGGAAGTAGAAAGTCCTGACACTTTAATTACCTGAAGAGATTACAAGATGAAAGTCTTCCTTGAGGCAAATGTATATTAGTATTGATATAGTCGTTGTGCTTTTCAGTAAGAGAAATAGGAGTCTGTATTTACATAAGAAACTATAGTGTCTGAGATCTTTAAATATCATATTTATGGAAATGATTCTGAATTACAGCATTTACAAAATAAAAACAAGCTTGAATAAATATTTAGTCCATTAAATAAGATATTTCTTTTTCACAGAAGCAACTTTTTGTGCATATTTATTTCACAATTGAAGTTTGTTGTAATTTTTTTTATCCTATAAAAGAAGCATTAAATTTGTTGTTTATTTTTTTTTCTTTTTTTCTCTAAAAATAAACCTGCAATAATCATTGCAATGTGAAGCCTGAGATTTAAGCCTGAATAAGTATCATTGCTTGCACCACATGACCCACCTCCCACCAATCACCCAACCCCACACCTTTCCAAACTCTGGTGAATGCTGACATTTCAACTCAAGGATTCTGTGGGAAGGATTTCAGGGAAATAATAATAAAAATATAAATAAGGTGAGGATAACACATTGTAGCTGACATTGTTTACAAACAGCATCATAAGGCTTGTGCATTACACATAAACTAAGTGAAGCTGTTCTATCTGGTTCAAAACGACAGTAGTGCCAAACTGTTGTACCCTTATATGGCTCATTAACACTGAATAATAAACCACTTAACAAAGGGAATATCCCCACAAAAATAAATTAAAAAAGAAAAACCAACACTGGCCAGTTTTGCTTTATCATTTGGAATGACAACACCCTTCTTGAGCATGATACTGCGAACAACTTCCTCATCCTTTTTTGTATTTATCACTTTGAAACACAGTGTGTACCACTGCGAGTCAGGAAAGGGGATACAGCAAAGAGCTCTTGATCTCACTTCCTCTGTAACCACAGCACACACTGTCTTGCTTTTCATGTGGCTAACTCAAAGCATGTCCGAACGCCTTTGAAACCTCAGTGCTCAGGGAGCTCTTACTGCAAATAGTTTGTGCAAGATCATAGCATGAATCCATGTGAGTCTTATTTCTTTCCCCTTCAAGTGGAGATGAAAATTAATCCCTGGTGCTTCAAATAAATACAAATGTCTTCTGAGTTGTTAGCATGAGTGAAGTAACAATATGCAATATTTTACACAAGTTACTCTGCCAAATGTGGACAAGAAGTACCATTCTCTGGCTGACCATTCTGTAGGACCTTTTGAATGTATCACTACATATTTGCCTTTTAAAAATGACTTAAAAAGAAACTCAGTACAGGAGAAATATTTTGTCACATCTACTGAATTTTGCTGCTAAACTCTTTCAAAAATATGTATTTTAATATTTGGTAACCTGAATATTTGGTAACTGAAGTTTGTTAAGTTTTAAATACTGATACATAAACCAAAGCTCTCTGTCAGACTTTTATTCATGGGATTTAGTACAAATTATGCAGGCTATGTATACTTCCAGAAGTCCAAAAGATGGAACTGGAAGTTGTAAAACTTAACTTTAGAAGACAACTTGGAGTTATTGCTCTGCTCAGTACATGAAAGGCAACAGAAATATACTGCTTCAGGACCTTCAGTGCTTCCTATGTGATTCACACAAGATTTTGCTTTTGTAAATATCAAATGTGGATTTGAAATTGTTTTCCTTTAATTAATCCTAGCACAGGTAGCAAAAAATCTAGTCATGGGAATGTTAAACCGCAACAGGAGGGAGAGTGCTGAATCCACAGCCATGCTGGTATTCTAGTGAGCACAGAAGTGTCCAAGCTTTGGGATCGATTTGCTGGGATGGACTGGTTAACTGGCTACTCTGTTCCTAGCGTGTAAGATAAGCAGCAATGCTTGTTCAATTCTTGGAGCCCTATTTCCTTCCACACAGTGCATTTTTTCTGCATATGGCATCGTAACATTAATGTTATAAATTTATGGAAGACTGTACTTTAGCCTTAGAGCTACAGTCGCTTCATACTTCCCTTTAGCAGCTTAGTAAAATGCAATAAAAACTGTCTGTACAAAATTTATAATAATGGATGTCAAAGCCTACATGCCCTCATGGGATCCCTCTTTCAAGTTAATTCTTGGCTTAGGTCAAATATATCAGTCCGTGTAAGACTCCATGACACACCAGTGGTTTAATATGTCAGATACCAGCTTTGTCACTATAGAAAGGAGTGACATGGAACACGTAACAGTGAGTGCAAACACGGACAGGCTTCATCTGACCATAACGAGGTAATGGAGCAGAGTGGGAGGAACAGCGGGAACAGAAGATCTGAAAAACAAGAGGGAGATTTCACCTTAGTTCCTTTTAAAGGCTGAATGGGACAAAATTGATTTCAAAAGAGGGGAAGGAAGATCTTAATGGGCTTTTGTGTATTGACAACACCACCCTCCTCAGCATAGCAGATGAAAGCCCCCTGCAGACAACTCATAGCCCAATGACCAATTAATCTGTGCTTAGCCTCTCTGACACAGGTGCTCAAGTACTGCCACTAGCCAAAGCAGGCCTGCCTAACTCTGCGGGTTGCAGGGGAAGGCAGCTCCACCAGAGATGAAAAGAAGCATTTCTCTCCCTTGGTTTTAAAGACAGACTAGTAAAATATTTGTGATGTGTGTGTAATGTCCAAAGTTCCTACTCCCCCAAGCCCACTCCAAAGTTAACAAAACCAGCTTCTCCACCCTCTTCATTTTTAAGTTGTATGCCTGCCAGCAAGTGAAATGAGACTGCAGATATCTGGCTTCCAGAGGCACATGACTGCTTTTTTCTTCCTCGTTCCCTCTTCCTCCCCCACAAACTCACAAAGTAGCAGCCCTACACACCGCAGTCAGCCTGCAAAGGTTTAAGAAGAAAGCAAAGGGACACACCATCCCTGCACCTGAGCTATGTACCACCCCTCGCAGCGGAGGCTGCTGCAGCTCATGAAAGATTACAGCAGTGGCTCAGAGTGCCTTTGGATTTGGGGTGTTTGTTCTAAGGTCTCAACAGGAGTTCTGATTTTTAGCAGACGAATGCTTATTGCTGTACAAAAGTCAAAACCTCCCCCCCACTTTCTAAACATAAGCTGAACAGTTGACAGCCAAGGCATACAAAACCACTTGTGACTCGAGAACCCTGTGCAAGTGCACGCATTTTTCTGTGCAGCTGACTTTGTTGTACACATGAATTTGCTGTTCTCTTTGGCAGACAGTTTCTCACTTGTTTGACTGAGTCATTACCTTGCCACAGCTCCGACAGTGGTGCTTCCTGCGAATGACTGTGAAAGGAGCCTTGCACGCAGTGCAGTAGCTGCAGACTTCATCTGGAACCCAGTCAGGAGGATCTGTCAAAAACACAGCAGCAAAAGGGAACATAAATCAAAAGGGAGTAAAACCAAACATGCGATTACCAAATCCTCAAGGGAGTAAGGAGAATAAAACATAACAGCAGCTGCTTTCATTTGAGTTTCTCAAGGTGCTTTGTGAACAGCTACGTGAGATCAGGATACCCAGGAGGGCTCAACTCCCCCTTTTCTGCCAGGCTCTCACCTTTGGGCCAAGCACAGCAGGCACTGAAACAGCACACAGCAGCTTTGGAGTCAAAATGAAGTATATCCTATTCAAATGAAAGTGGCAGGGAAAAGGAGATAAGCAAAATGAAGTATGAAGATGAGAGACTATTAAAGCAGAGCTGGATCACAGGTGTTTTTGTCAATGCACCCAGCCATCAAAACAAGCTTAGAGCTGAGATCATTCCCAGCCTCTTCAGTCCTCCCTACAGAAAGGCTGACTGCTTTTCTGCAATTAGGCAAGCAACTCTGCATATAATAAGCTTAAAGCCTGATTACTGTCTGCTAAACTGTTAGGATGCTTACTGGAAGTCACCAGTAACTATAGCAAAACCACAGAATCAAGTGTATGAGACTAGACAAAGAATTCTACTACTATACTAAACAGCATGTTTCAGTTATTTCTGCTGTGAGCTCTCTAACCTCTCATTAAAGCCAAGCAGGGAAATGATTTGGCTTTGGCAAAGCAGAAGGTATTAGGCTCACTTCTGCTGAGATGCTTCTGCTAGTGACAGGCTGACATGACCTCAGAGAGTCTAAAATTACAACTGTAGAAATGACGTAGCCGATTGCTTAATCAAGTTGTTAAAAATCTGATGAAGGGCAAAGCAAGTTTTATCTAGAAGGAATCCAAGGACACAGCAAACATGAACTGCTGGATGTTATTTACTCAAGTTCCCTATATGCATCTTCTGAGCGTTATTTACAGTATGCAACCCATGCAATTGCTGATTTATAAATCTGACAAGCAAAATCCCTGCCTCAGGGAGCATATTATCAAGCAACAAAATATATGGTGCAGTTAATGCAGAGGTCAATAGGGCTACAGCTACAGGCAGAGAAAAGATAATTAAATGAAAAATCCACTACATCGTTCAAACATAACCACAACCAGTTTTCATGTGTTTGTCATATTGCAACGTTTGTCAAATTAAAAGTAAAAAAGATACAGCATTCAATTGAGAAAATGTTCAAAAAGCAGATTAATAAAAACAAAGAGAACTTTGAATCTTGACTCAGCTTTCACAGGCTCCTCTGAACTATTTTGGAAGCTAAACTAGTTCAAAGAAGCAGTCTTTCACTTGATGAACAAACTGGTCTGATAAAGATCACAACTACAGGGACAGCAACCAAAACCACAGTCTGTGTGCAAAGAGATAACTGATGTGGTGAAAAAAAACCTCAGAGATTGCACAGAGCAGCCTTTACCTCATCCCTGGGAGGAGTCCACTAGAAAAGGTTCTGTGGGGACACAAGGCTACAAATTCCTACTTCAAAGGCAGGCTCCCTTCAGCAGCAGGGAGGCGCAGGACTGCCAGATTAAGTCAAAGCAGAAAGAGCAATGAATCCAAGATGTTTTCTTTTCCAAGTCTTACCTTTTCTCTGCAACCTCCCTAGCTAGTATATAGTAAGTGAAACTTATTCCTAATACTGGTTTTGGATGTTGATTTTGAAAGCTTTCCTGATTCACAGGAATCTGATCTGAAACCATGGCAAATCTGATGACCTTGAAGCATCCCCATGTTCTCCATCCAGGAAATTCCTTGGGTTATCACATATAATCCAAACACAGTAACTGAGGCAATAAGGATATTCCTGTTTAAAACTTGCTGTTAGACTACTTAGCCATGATTGTTTTTCAGGGATTTAACTATCCCATTGATACTCACTAACTTTAAAGACAGCAAAATCCAGGAAGTTATTCAAACTCTATGCTATTGGGTCTCCCTCCCAGATGAACACAGAGCTGATGGAAGCAGGTTTGGTTAGATGCTTACTTTGCTACTAATGCTTTATCAACTGCATTGTCAAGTAGGCTACCATGTTCACCTAGTTCCTGATTTTAATATTCACAGAAAAGCCACAAAACACAGGCCCTGTGCAACACACCAATATGAACTGCAGCTTCTGCAGCAGCCAGTACCTTAATCACTCCTCTTAGATCCTGATTAGTCCAGACACATCATAAACTAACACAACCCCACCACAAAGGTTCTGCAATGCAACAGAAAACATCTCTCTTCTCAGGTATTACCATTCGGGTTTTATTATTTCTTCTGTTATTGCCCTTGACATGCAATGTTGAAAAAACTTGTTTAATTGACCTTGTATGGATTTATCTCAAATGCTAAATAAAAACTGCACCCCCCCCACCATGAGAAACAGCAAATTTATCTTGATAAATAACAACCTTATAAACCCATAATAATCCTATAATACATAGTTCATGGTTACAGAATTACTTGACTGCCAGATGAATTAATCTGCAAACTGTATTTATAATTGCATTTAAAAAAAATAAAAAATCACAACTTGATGGTGTTTAGTGTCTAAAACCAGTATAACCCTCTCTACAGAATGTTTCCACCTCCACATTGGTGTCATGTTGGCTGATTCACTAGATGAATACATCAGAGGAGTGAGCTAAAGAGCACATGTTGCCCCAGTGAGTCAACAACATAAGGCCCTCCAACAGGGCTAGACAACCAGCCCCATGCCCCGTCAGTTCTGGGTTTTAGTGCCCTCCTAGCATCCCAATTGCTGTCACCAAGATCTGCTGCACTGCAGCACACCCCCAAATAGTAACACTTAGTTATATAACAGCTTTTAACATTCAAAACGCTGTACAAACGTTAATTGCTTTACTCCTCGTCACCCAGCTACAGTCACTAAGCATGTGGGGAGAAATCAGGAGAGAAACATCTCGCCCAAAAATCATACAATGGTGCAGCCTTGAAATAACATTCAAAATAAGAAACTTTGGGCCATTAGCCCTGTGCCTTTGCTTCCAGTCATGACTGAAAATGTCCTTACACTGAATACAAACACAGAGACTTCAATTTGAGAGTATGCACTTGGTTAATTAAATGCTATCCTGGCTGGAGCCACAGTGCTTGCATTGGCAGGGCAGATGAAGCTCCAAATGACTCAGCCTCTCTGCACCCATGCGAGCCCCAGTGGCAATAGAATCCCACCCTTTGGTCCCCTTCACAAGCTTCATCTTGCTCAACCTTGGGAGCAGCCCTTCTGACTTAACATATATTAACAATTGAGTCATCAGGCTTTTTATAGAACAGGTTTTTGAAATACTCTCTGAAGAGCAGTCTCATGAGGGGATAAAGCTTCAATACAAGGAGCAGAGCAAGTTACAAATTAAACCCTTAGCATGAGCCTGAAGACATGCTAGAAGCAGGGCAGCAGCACTGCACCCGCAGGCTTTTTATGTTATAGTCCTTCTCTGGGCTATGTAGCTCCATTAGCTCTGCATGCAGCAGCAAGTGGAAACATCCAGTCGCCAGAGCACTATCTCCCTGTGCTTCAGGGATTTGTACAAGGAATGGAGGGAAAACCTTGTTTGTGGGCTAATTGGCCCACTGCTTTATCATGCAATGAGAGTTAAGAGAAGTCTGCTGGGAAATGGATGAAGACCACTGCACAAACATCAAAGAGGAGGGGGAGGGAGGGAAGGGATTAACGAGACAAAGACTGCAGAAATAAATTTTAGAAAGAAACATTAAAAGCATGTAAATGAAAAAAAGGCAAAGAAAGGAAAAGAAACAAGTCTTTAAATGAATAAGAAACAAGTTTAGAGAAAGAAAAAGGCACAAGATAAAAATTAAATAGGGCAAAGGCTAAAAAACACATTTAAAAAGGAGAAACAGTATTCCAAACTCTTAACTATTAAAAAATTTTGCAATTATGATCTCTCATAAAGCATGAAATTTTACGGTCTTTTTTATTCGTTTTATGCGGTGGTTTTTACAATTCACCCTTACATGTCTAGGCAACCTCATTAGCTAAAAAAGTTCTCTTAAAAAAGTTAAAAATCTCACATAAATCCAAGATGCTGGAGCCTTAAAACACCCATAATCATGATTAAAAAAAAAAAAAATCACGGACACTGCAAACTGTTAAAAAGCACATGTGAATCAGTGTTGCTTAAGTATGTGCAACAGACCTATTGCTGTTCCATCTAATGCTAAGAAAACCAAGGAGAACATCTCAGTGCCCAGAACACAAAAGGAAGAGCGCCTGGACCCAGGTCCATCAACAGTGTTGACTGAAACAACATTAGACCAGAAACTGTAAGTTCATTCAGTGATGCTGAGAGACAAGAAACTCGGGTGAGGAGGAAACAATCTCCACAGTTGTTGGAACTTGCAGAAAATTTAATGTAGCAAATCTAGACTTTGGCACAAAACTAATCGGAAAACATGTACACCACTGACAGCTGATGAAGAGCAGCTATAAAACCCTAAGCTTGTGCATTGTGGCCTGACAATTCACAGAAAAGACCCTTTCTGCATCTTTTGTTTTTATCAATATTCCTAATGCAAGAAGTTCCTCCTGCATCAATGTGCATTAGATTTTAGAGCACTTCAATCATAATCTTGATTATGTTTTTACCAAACTAACCTGAAGAGGGCTGTTTATACAGCAGTCTGTGGAACTTACACTGCTACAGCCGTCAAAGTGCATTACCCTCATAGCTGCAAAAAAGGTCAGATGGGGCTTGCTGGAGCTCTTCTGATGAAAACAGGAATTCTCACAGTTTTAAGTATATAAAGTAGAGAGCTAAGGTGATGTGACTTAACCTCTCACTTCAACTGCTACACTAAGATGAACCTTTTTGTCCCTTATCACACGATTTTCTGCATGTCATTCTGGTTAATCTGACTTTTATATAAGATTCCTAGGAGGCAGTTGTACCAAATAATCTACCCTTGCTCAGTAGATTCAGTGTTGAGTATAGCTGGCTTGAAATTTTTCAATAA